GGTTGGCTGGGGCGCCGGGGGGGGGGGGCACATGGGTGGGGCCGTGGCAGTTTGGGGTGACACTGGGAGTCCCGGGGGACGATGCCATGGGTGGGGCCGTGGCAGTTTGGGGTGACACTGGGGGTTTTGGGCAGGCGGCAGCGGTGGTGGTGGCAGGGGGTGCACTCACCTGCAGCCACACAGGTGGGGGCCACAGGACCATGGCTGTGTCCTTGTGCCCCCCGTTTCCCACCCCTCAGAGCCACAGGCTGTGTCCTTGTGCCCCCCGTTTCCCACCCCTCAGAGCCACAGGCTGTGTCCTTGTGCCCCCCGTTTCCCACCCCTCGTGGCTGGAGCGTGGCCAGGTGCCCCCCCGCGGTGTCACACATCCTTCCCTGTGCCACCTCCCGTGTCCCCAGTGCCACCGCAGGAGCCGAGGTGTCGGGCCGGGGGTATCAAAACTAAACCTTTACTGGGGGGTGGCGGGACGGGGGGCACAGCCACGGGGAGCCCCTGTCCCCGCTGTCGCCGTGTCCCCGCTCAGCGGGCGGGGCCCGGGGGGCGCCGCTCCTGCAGGGAGAAGGACTGGCTGCGGATGCGCAGGGCCACCTCCTGCGTGCGGAACGTCAGCCCGAAGATGTCCTCGTGGTAGCGGTTCTTGTCCTGCGGGACAGCTGTCAGGGCCGGGGCCGCCACCCCCGCGGTGCCACGCGTGTGTCCCCGTGGTGTCCCGGGTGCCAGCCCTTACCCTCAGCTCGCTGATGACGTCCCCCGCCTGGCCCAGCGTCATGTCGCCCTCCTGGGCCAGGATGTGCTGCACGGTCTGCAGCACCTCGGTGGCCATGGTGACGTCCCCGCACACGTACATGTGGCCCCCGCGCTGGCAGAGCACCTGGTGCACCTCGGCTGCCAGCTGTGCCCGCAGCACGTCCTGCACGTACGTCTGGGGACACACAGGGACCGTGGCGTGCTGCGCCCACCCACCCTGTGCCCGGCTCCCCATCCCCGCCCCGACCCCCTGTGTGCTGCCCCTGTCCTTGTCCGTGTCCCCAGCCCCTCGCCTCCAGCTCTGTGCCACCCGTCCCCTCCGTTTCCACCCTCACCTTGTCCGTGTCCCCAGCTCCACGCCCATCCCAGCTGTCCCCATTCCGTCCCCCCCCGTGCCACACGGCTGTCCCTGTCGCACCTTGGGGCTGCCGGGCTCGCGGGAGAAGGCGGTGAGCACCTGGCTGAGGGCGCCCTGCTGCCGCGCCTGCTCCATCTCCTCGCGGTAGATGTGGTCCAGGGCGGAGGAGCGGCAGCCGAACACCAGCACCATGGGGCCCAGCGGGCCGCCTGCAGGGGACAGTGTCCTTGTGTCCCCACAGCCCCGCTGTCCCCTGTCCTGCAGCCCCCCGTGTCCCCACGTGCCCAGTCTCCATCCCCTTCCCCGTGTCTCCACACCCCCTTTGTCACTGTCACCACGTCTCTCGTCCTCCATCGCAGTGCCACCATGCTCCTGTGCCCATGTCCCCCACACCCCCATCCCTTCCATCCCCAGGTCCCTGTCCCCACATCCTCCCAACCACCTGTCCCGCCGTCCCCACCCCCACGTCACTGTTTCTCCATCCCCTTCTCCCGGGCTCCCGTGGCCCTGTACCCTGCCCCAGCCCCCCGTGTCCCCGTGTCCCCGTGTCCCCGTGTCCCTGTCCCACCTCCGGCGCGCAGCAGCTGCAGCCGGTGCTGCCAGAAGCTGCGGAAGGGCGCCACGCCGGTGCCGGGGCCCACGAGGATGCAGGGCGTGTCGGGGGCGGGCGGCAGCCGGAACGAGGGGGCCCTGCAGCAGTCGGGGGTCACCCGGGGGGGCTTCAGACCAGCCCCGGCTGGGGAGGTCGGGAAATGGGGCGGGGGGAGGCTGGGCGTGTGGGGGGTAGGCTGGGACGTGCAGGGGAGCAGTTGAGGGGGACAGGCAGGGATGGCAGGCAGGGGACAGGGAGGGCAGGGACAGGGATGGAGGCACGGGGACAGGGATGGCAGGCAGGGGACAGGGAGGGCAGGCAGGGGACAGGGAGGGGACAGGGATGGAGGCACGGGGACAGGGAGGGCAGGCAGGGGACAGGGAGGGGACAGGGATGGAGGCACGGGGACAGGGAGGGCAGGCAGGGGACAGGGAGGGGACAGGGATGGAGGCACGGGGACAGGGAGGGCAGGCAGGGGAGGGGACACTGAGGGGACACTGAGGGGACACTGAGTGACACTGAGGGGACAGTGAGTGACACTGAGGGGACAGTGAGGGGACAGGGGGGGACAGTGAGGGGACAGTGAGGGGACAGGGGGGACAGGGGGGACAGGGGGGACAGGAGGGGACAGTGTCACTGGGGCACGGGGACAGCGGGGACAGAGAGGGGACACCACGGGGCCATCGGGGCACAGTGGCACTGGGGGATGTGGCAGTGGGGTGTCCCCCCTGTCACTCTGTGTCACCGTCACCCCTGTCACCCCATCACCCATCACCCCTGTCACCCGTGTCACCCCGTGTCACCGCTGTCACCCTCTGTCACCCGTGTCACCCCGTGTCACCCCTGTCACCCTGTGTCACCCTGTGTCACCCCATCACCCATCACCCCTGTCACCCGTGTCACCCCGTGTCACCCCATGTCACCCCTGTCACCCTGTGTCACCCTGTGTCACCCCATCACCCATCACCCCTGTCACCCGTGTCACCCCGTGTCACCGCTGTCACCCTCTGTCACCCGTGTCACCCCGTGTCACCCCTGTCACCCTGTGTCACCCCGTCACCCGTGTCACCCTCTGTCACCCCTGTCACCCGTGTCACCGCTGTCACCTGCTCCATGGTGACGCGCTTGCCGCGGTAATCCAGCCACACGGGGACATCGGCCGTGAAACGGAACTCGCTGGGGACAGAGAGGGGGCAGGCAGGGGACAGGGAGGGGACAGGGATGGAGGCACGGGGACAGGGATGGCAGGCAGGGGACAAGGAGGGCAGGCAGGGGACAGGGAGGGGACAGGGATGGAGGCACGGGGACAGGGATGGAGGCACGGGGACAGGGATGGCAGGCAGGGGACAGGGAGGGCAGGCAGGGGACAGGGAGGGGACAGGGATGGAGGCACGGGGACAGGGATGGCAGGCAGGGGACAGGGAGGGCAGGCAGGGGACAGGGATGGAGGCACGGGGACAGGGAGGGCAGGCAGGGGACAGGGATGGAGGCACGGGGACAGAGAGGGAGGCAGGGGACTGGCTGCAGGACAGTGACCCCTTACCCCCGGATGAAGGCTGGCACTGTGTCCCCCGGCTGCAGCCGCGCCAGCCACGAGGAGCAGACGCCGTAGTGGAGGGGACCCTGCCCGTCTGTGGGGACCAGAGGGGACCGGTGGGGCCGCGGCGGAGAGGCAGCCCCTCGCAGAGCCCCCCGCAGAAGCTGGGCACTCTCTGTGCCCGGGCAGGAGATTTGAAGGCGCTCTGGGGACACTGGAGGTGTCCCGGAGAGGAGCTGAGGTGCCCTGGAGCCCCGGGGGTGCCCCGGGGGTGCCCCACCGCCCGTGCCCGTCCCGCCGCTCACTCTCGCTGTGGTAGGTGACGACGGCCACGGTGAGGTGGATCTCGCCCGGGTGGGCGGCGGGCGCGGAGCTGATGGAGTAGTAGCGGGGCTGGAGCAGCGGGAGCTGGGAGAGCAGCAGCGCGGCCGGCAGAGCCACGGACGGGAACTCGGCCAGCACCTCCGGCAGCGTCGGGCACCGGAACCACTTCCACTCCTCGTACAGCCGCGCGTCCTGCGGGCACACGGCTGCCACAGCGGGGACCCCGCACTCGGCCCCCGGGGACCCCCGGTGCCTGGCACCAGCCCGGGGTGGGGGGCAGCATCCCGGTACCCCACGAGGCGGCGGATCAGCGCCCCAGAATCAGGATCAGCATCCCAGCGTCCCGACTGCAGGGGAGCTGGCATCCCAGCAGCCCAGTGTGGCAGCCAGATGGGGGGAGTGGGCACCGCGGTATCCCCGCCTCTCTCTGGGGGTGTCCCCCACCCCCTCACCTGCGCCAGGCGCTGGAGCCGCTCCCGCTCGGCGGGGTCCCGGGCCAGCGAGCCCAGGAGCTGCAGGAACTGCGGGCTCGGCGGCGCCGCCACGTCCAGGTAGAAGGTGAGAGCCTGGGCCAGGGTGCAGGGGGGCAGCCGGGACTGCAGCACCCAGCGGGGCCCGGGGCTGGACCCGCCTGCGGATGGGGGGATTGTGGCGCTCAGCTCTGTCCCGTTTCCTTCCCCGGGCCCTTCCTCCTGTCCTTCTTCCTCCCCTCTTCTTCCTTCCCCTCCCGCCGCCCCAAGTCCTAACCCCTTTGTCTTCCTCTTCCTCAGTCCCTTCCCGTTCCTTTCCCCAGCCTCTTCCTCTCTCTTCCTCTGCCCCAACTTCTTCCCTTTCCAACCTTTCCCTTTCTCTTTCCAAGCCTCAGCCCCTCCCCATCTTCCCGCGGGACCCCCTCCGGTACCGGTGGCTTCTCCACCACCCCCCTGTTGGGAGGGATTGGAGCGGGAGGGGCGGGGGGGGGGGGGGGGGCCGGGGGGGAGGGGGGGGCATGGGGCGCGCGGGAAGGTACGGAGGGGCTGGGGGACACGGGGGGTGAGGAGGGCACGGGGTCTGGGGACACCGTGGGACACGAGGGGACACAGGGGTACATGTAGGGCTGGGGCACACAGCGGGACTGGAGGGACTGGATGGCGATGAGGGGACACGGAGGGGCTGGGAGGAAACAGGGGTTTGGGGGGACACGGAGGGGAAGGGGGGCTGGGAGTCGTGGGGTGAGGAGAAGGCTGGGGGGAACCAAAGGGTCTTGGGGAGGTCGTGAGGGGGCTGGAGGAGTCCCTGGGGGGCTGACCCCACAGAGCTATGGGGTGTGAGGGGATCCACAGGGTGCTCGGGGGGTGCTGTGGGGTGTCCCGGCGAGGCCACGGGGCAGGGGTCGGTGAGAGGCGGGGGTGACACGGGGAGTCGGGGGTCCCGCAGGGTTTGGGGGTCCCGGAGGAGTCGGTACCGGCCAGAGTCTCGGTGGCCTGGGGCTGCGGCACCAGCCGGTGCCTCTGGCGCTTCCAGCCCTGCGGCGGGGCGAACAGCTCCTCGGCGCCCCCCGCCCCGTCCCCCACGCAGAATGTCTCGCAGGCAGCCTGGGGGTACGGGGGGGCGGTGGGCGCCAAGCGGGGGGGGGCCTGTGGGTGCCCCCCGCCCCGGTACCCGGAGGAGCAGGGGCGCCCCGGTGCAGGGCGGCTCCTGAGGGCCCCCAGCCCCCGTACCTGGAACACCTGGCGTGCCCAGGTGCGGAACGACTCCTCCTGGGCGCACAGCTCGTCGCCCTCGCCCAGGGGCAGCACCCGCTCCCCGCCCAGCTCCTCCAGCCGCGTGTCCACGGCCCGCGCGAAGGCGCAGAAGTGGGGGTACGCCCGGGACCCCAGCCCGAACACCGCGAACCTGGGCGGGAGTGGGGGGTTGGGGTCCCCAGGGGTGTGGGGGTACGCCCGGGACCCCAGCCCGAACACCACCGGCCTGGGCGGGGGTGCACTGGGGGGATCCCCAAAGTCAGAGGGGCCTGGCCATTATCAGGCCATTCCATGGGGGGTCACGGGGGCCCCTCGGGCAGCTCCTGTCCCCACCCACATCCGCAGGGCAGGGGGCTGGAGCTGCCGGTGCGGTGAGAGCCCAGTGCGGGGCAGGGCAGCGTGCCCAGGCAAGGGGCCCGTCCCCATCCCTGATCCCTGGCTGTGCCCATCCCTGTGGCCCGGGTACTGCAGCACTCCCGACGTGCCCAGGCCGAGGAGCTCATCCTGTGCCCATCCCCGTGGCCATGCCCATCCCTGTGTCTGTGCCTATCCCTGTGTCCGTGCCCATCCCGTGCCCATCCCGTGCCCATCCTGTGCCCATCCCTTGCCCATCCCATGCCCATCCCTGTGTCCGTGCCATTCCTGTGTCCGTGCCCATCCTGTGCCCATCCCGTGCCCATCCCCATGGCCATGCCCATCCCTGTGTCCGTGCCCATCCCTGTGTCCGTGCCCATCCCATGCCCATTCTGTGCCCATCCCATGCCCATCCCAGTGCCCATCCCGTGCCCATCCTGTGCCCATCCCTGTGTCCGTGCCCATCCCGGTGTCCGTGCCCATCCCATGCCCATCCCAGTGCCCATCCCGTGCCCATCCTGTGCCCATCCCATGCCCATCCCCGTGGCCATGCCTATCCCTGTGTCCGTGCCCATCCCGTGCCCATCCCGTGCCCATCCCAGTGCCCATCCCAGTGCCCATCCCAGTGCCCATCCCA